TTTGAAATAGACTAAATCATTTTCCTAACAAGCTTCTCATTAGGGAAGACTTCTCCAAATCCCTTGAGATCGTTAACAATCATGAAAAGTCTATATTTCATAGCTTTGATGTCTTCATTCGGTTTCATCTTGAAATTCTCATAGTTATGGTTGAGAATGTCGATTTTGGTTTCCCTTACTTCATCAATTTCTCCATGAGTGACTTGGATCTTGTACCATATCTCCTTGGCATTTGGATAAGATGAGACTCTTCCATATTCATCCGGAACTAATGCACAAAATAGAATGTGCATTGCCTTTGCATTGAGTTGGAACTTTTTCTTCTCTCCATCACTCCTCCATCGCATTGGTTGGAGTAGATTATCCTTCATAATATAGTTCCAAGCTTCTAGATCGTTGGCTTGAATGATGAGCATCATCCTATTCTTCCAATAGGCATAATTTGCACCATTGAAATAAGGTGGGTTCTTGACCAGTTGAGAGTCTTCAATGTAGTAAGACTCGGAGGTTGAAGTCATCTTCTCGATTACGTCGAGAATTGGTAGGACTTCTTCAAGGATCGTCTCAAGGATGTTAAACCTTCTAATGAGTCAAGATTTGGTACCAATGGTTAGGATTGATGAAGCTCAATTGATCAACCGAAAAAGTGCCAAGAGGGGGTGATTTGGCATTTTGAAAATTTTGGGTATGTAATAAAAGATACAGACAATTTGCAAAAGGATTTATACTGATTTGACTTCTAAACCAAGTCTACATCCACTACCTTAGCTCCTACTAAGGATTTTCTAACAAAATTCACTAATTTGTTCTTTCTTTTTCTAGGCTCAAGAGTAACCTTTACAAAACTCTTAGTTTTTCAATGGCTAAACTAGAACCACTCCCCTTTTACAAAGGTTAAAAGATGTAAACAAGAAAACCTCACAAAGGTATGTGTTTACAAGACTTAAGCTCACAAGAAAAATAATTAAAAGATTTGCAATAAGCTCAAACACTTGTGTACAAGAGAAAAGGGAAATAAAGAGTGAAAGAGTTTTTCTTTTGATCTCTATTGCTTGGATATGTGTTGTAACCTTCTTCAAGTGTCCTCAACTTGTTTTTATATGTTGGAATGAATTTGTGGCCATTTCTAGCCGTTGGGGAAATGAATTTTCTACAAAAATAAAACTGCTCAGAACATGAACTATCGGTGCTTCTTTAATGAGTATCAGTACTACCTCTGTAATTTTTTAAATAAACTAGCCGTTAAGATTGTTGGGCTCGACCAGTATCGATACTAGGGTTCATGGTAACGATATTGCTGTGTAAAGTAGTATCGGTACCCTTTGAGTGTCGGTACCAATTTTGCATTCTGGAATTTGAACAATTTTGAAAACAACTAGTAGTGTCGATACTACCAAGAGAGTATCGATACTTCTCTTACCTTTGGTATTGATAACACATGAACAATATGATATTGTTCATGTAGTATCGATATTGTAAGAACAGTATCGGTACTACTTACCTAAAAACTGTTTTTGTGTTCAAATTCTAGTTTTAATAGACTTTGAATTATTTTTGAAAACTTTGAACAAATTCAATCAAGCCCAAAAACATTTTACCTTAATTTGTTATATCAAAATATTATAAAACATGGTTCAACATACCTAGATGCATCGCAAACAGTCCACTATGCGCCGCAGAAAGAATCTTATGCCCCAAATTTGCATCGACAGGAACACACATCTGACCTCGAAAACACATAACACCCTCGGATTAGTTAAAGAGTCAGATGAGTTTTTTTTCCCCTAATTTTAAGAGCAACATTAAATCTTAAAAAAATTATTGCCCACGTTATTTTTTTAAAAAGTTTGAAGGCCTTGGATACATTAAACATGTATTTTTTGTATTTTAGGGTGTGTTTGTTTGCCGTAATTGAAATTACGGAATTGGTTTTCCCCGAATTCCCGTGTTTGTTTCACGTAATTCGTTTTCCAGGAAAATGTTTTCACATGTTTGTTTCACGTAATTCGTTTTTCGGAATGCAATTCATTTTCCTAGTAAAAGAATTTCCTTTGTGTTTTCTGTAAAATGACTTACGGATTTAATTTCCGTAAGTTATTTTCCAAACTTTTCACTTCAAGAATAAATACTCAAAATAATTTTATTTTATGAATTTAATATATAAAAATATTTTAATATCATTTTCATCAAAATATTATTTATTTTTATTTATTAATATTTAATATAAATTTATATTTTTAAATAAATTAATTATATAAATAATATAGATATTTTTATTTTAATAATATTTAAATATATATTTTAAAAATATTATTATAATTAATATTTTAAAAAATATAACTATTACTTTAATAATAATTAATATATTTATAATATTTTATTTCACTAAAATATACAAAAATTATTATTTATTAAATAAAATAATAATATAATAAATAAATTATTTTAATATTTTAAATAATAATTAAGTTTTATGATAAATAATATTATTTTATTATTTATATTTTTAATAAATAATTTTTAAAAAACTCTTCAACTAGTGGAAAAATGTTTAAATAACATCTTTCAAACATCATAAAACGTTTTTCAGATGTTTTTCAGAAAAATGTAATTCATTTTACGGAAAAAATTTTACGGAAAACGTTTTCCAGAAATGTAATTCATTTTCCAGAATTCAAATTCCAGTAATTCATTTTCCAGTTCCAGTAATTCAAATTCCGTAATTCATTTTTCGAAAAATCAATTACAGCCAAACAAACAGACCCTTAATGATATTTGTGTATATGCTTTTGCCTACAATATTATTTTAATTCTCATTTCAAATTGGGCCCTAAACTTTTGAACTTTTTTAATTTTATCTTTAAACTATGCTTTCATTTCAATTTAGTCCCCAAACTTTTGAACATACCAAATCCATCCCCAAAATATACCCCATTCTATATTGATCCCCAAACTTTTAAATATTCTAATTTGAAGTTTTGAATATTTTAGGGAATATTATTGGAATGTACAAAAGCTTGGAGACTAATTTAGAACAAAGGTCATAGTTTGAGGGATAATTTGAAATTTTCAAAAGTTTGGGGAACAATTTAGAATGGGAGTCATAGTTTAGGGATGAAATTAAAATGTTAAAAGTTTAAGGATCAATTTAGAATAAGAGTCATAATTTGGGAATGTATATTTCAATTAACTTTATTTTTATGATCTTTAATTTAATTGTTGTTCACATTAACATTATAATGTTATTATAAACTCAAATAGTTTTTGTGTTATGGAATTTTTTATCTATTTTATTATTTTATATTTGCATAATTAACATGTTAAGTTTTTATTATGAATTTTTCTAATAATTATATTTTAATTTAATTATTTTATTTTAAAAAGTTAGATACTAAACACATTTTCATTATTTTTATTTTTTAAAACATGTTTTCAATTATATTAAACAAAACATGTTTTCTGATTTCTGAAAACTGAAAATAAAAAGTATTCTTAAAAAATAAAAACTTTCTAAAAGCAATCAGACTCTAGTTTTCTCCATTTCATATAATTTCAGTCTGGTATTTAGTTATTTATTTATTTTAATGTGTCATTGTTGCAGTTCCAGGCTCGATCCAAAGGAAATGGGCTTATACCAAGAGCATCAGCTCTAGCTGCCTTATCATCTGTCTGCATTCAATTCATCGTCAACAAGCACAAAGTCGGCTCCAAAACCTTTCAAAATGGGTCAGGGTTCGTTAGTCCCGTTTCTGAAATTTTAGTAGTATGTGACAAATAAAAACTAGGCCCCAGATATCGAAAAAATTAAATCACAAGAACAAGCAAAAGTAAATAAATTCGCTTGTAGATTTTTTTATTACGTGTAGTAAACTATTTAATAAATATATCAAATTTTAAATAAAAAAAGAAATTTTATTAAACATCCAACTACTCACACAAAACAAACATGATCCTCTTTTAAGAGGGTACATGTTAGATTTTAAACTTCTTCATCTTGTTAAAAAATAAAAATAAAAAATTAAGTGTAAAATGAAAAAAAAAATTTAAAATGTTACATCAATATCGTTAATGGTGAACAATAAAAAGAAAACAAAATATAATGTTAAATACGATAAAAAAATAATTGAATAACCAAAACAGAAATAAAATTAATAAGTGGGTCACTAAATAAATAATTTATTATTTTTTAATTATATATGAATTTATAATTTTAATCCCCGGAACAAGAAGAGCACTTACCAAGACCCAGAAACGGGGCTGAGGTTCGTAAAGGGCAGCTGCTGTAGGCCTGTAGCTTCTCTTTCTGCAGTTCTTACTACTAAAAAGAACATGCAATCGCTGGATGGACTCCCTGCAAAATCCGCTAGCAGCACTCCTGCGGTATCTACCCTACCTTGTAAGAACTCGTGTTCTTTGGACTAGGAGCAGTGGCGGATGAAAGCTTTCTTATGCATCTTAAAATTCGAATTTTTTTTATATTAATTGTTAATTTTATTAATAGTACTTAATTTAATATATATATATATATATATATTCGTCTTTAAAAATATTTATGAATCCGTTCAGAACACCAACCACTGCTTTAAGCTGGTCCACGAGCAATTGAAGAAGGCTTGGGAAGGCGGGAAAGAACAAATGATTATGGGCAAATTAAGAGGTCATTTAAATTAAATATTTGTTTCATACAATTTCAATTTTTTATTTAGTTCGGTGGTTGGATGTTGGACCTATTATCAAAAGGGCCTTAATTTATTTAAAATAGAAATTTATTTTTATTATAATTAAATAAGATAATGACATATTGTCAATTTATTTGTTTAAATAAAATTATTGAAAAATAATAGATAAACCGTTAATGAGGGAACAAATAACTTAAAAGAATACATTTAGTTACAATGATAAAAGGAAATATCATTAGAATCCGAATACGAGTAATTGTAGGATTCGAACTGCACCCGTAGAATGTACGTTTTATCAATAGTAAAACGTAGAACATAATAAACCCACAATAAAAATTAAACATTAATCCAATCAACTTATCACACAAACAATCCACAATAAGTTCCAAACAGTACATAATAAACCGTAGAACAACGAAGAGAATATACGAGAGCTAGCTCGCTCTTCTCTATTTAAAGTAAACACGACAGTAAAAGCATAACATAATAATGAAACCAAACAAGAGCTTCAGGATTCACTCATCTTCCGACTCGGACTCGGCAGTTTGGAGCCACTCGATGAAGGGCTTGACGTTCTTCCAAATCCGTAGACTCTTATTGTTACCAGCCACACCCTTGTGGTACCATTCCACGATGGATTCTTCTTCCAAAATGTCATCATCATACAGCACTTTAAGAACCAATGCCACCTCCTTTGCTGCCTCGGGGCTAGCCTTGCCGCAGAAAGACTCGAGAGAACGGAGAAACACCATCTGACATCCCTCTTCTGCTTTGGCTGCTGCCGCTACTGCTGCTACAAGGTAGTTCTTCTTTTTGGTTACTTCTTTCGCAAAACCCTTTCCCACATTGTTAAAGAGTACTATAAATAGAGCATCCATGACTTCTTGGGAGGTTCCGGAGAGTGAACATAGGAAGGATTTAAGCTGAGTTGGAGACGAACCCTTCCTGATGTGTTCATTAATCTCATCAATGAGTTTATAATGGATACTGACACTGTTTTCGCTTACCTTGGCTTCATTCTCGGGAGACTTCTTCACTGACTTTTTCTTCTCTTCATTGGTCGAAAGCATCACCATATCTGCAGTAACAGCACTCAACTGCTCTTGGATACGTTGCTGAGCAGCCTCGAGTGAAGTATCAGTTTGCCATTGAATATTATCATCATCATCATCACTGGCAACACGTTCATTCTCATCTGACTGACTGTGTTCAGGGGAACGATCTTCATCAGAATGTTTGCTTTTCTTCTTGGTTACTACACCTTTCGAAACAGCAACCTTTGAAGTAGCAGTGGTGCCCTTCTTTTTCGCCTCTTTTTTAATCTTCTTCAGCTCTTCATCAGCAGCTTCACCCTCCTTGAGCCTTTCCTTTTCAGCCCTCCTCATTGCCTTCTTATCTTTCGACGACTTCTTCGCCTCGGGTGGGTTCTTAAGAATGAAAGTCGTAAGCTTATCCCTCATATCAACATCAGAAACAAACCCACAAGCAGCACATTTCAGAGTAATCATCTGTGTCTTAGTAATAACAATCTCAGTTTCAGGGTTCCCACAACCATAGCACTGAACAAACTTCTTAATAAAGTTCTCAAGAAGCCCAGCAAGCTTCGCAGTATCATGGGCACCATTTACGAGTGAAGTTCCAGTCTTCTCATCAAATTTGGATTGGGCTCCGAGTTCACAACCAAAATACTTTGTAGTGTAAGAAGCAGGTCTAGCCAAAGCCTTTGCAATCTCAACCATGTTAACCACATTAGTCTTGATGCCATTTCCTCTCCCTTCAATCTTGGTTATCATTTTCGGCATCTTATACCTATAAAAGGCATCCTCACTATTGGAAGCACCAATATTTTGCAAAGCCATCTTGATCAAACTGTGGCAAAATCACGAAGGAGGGATCAGATACTGGTGTTTTCGATCGTGGTGAGATATCCTTTAACAGAAACCTTTCTCACACTTAGAATAGGTCGCATAAAACAGAAGCCAAGTTTTTGTGTTATTGGCCTCAATATGTATGCAGATACCTTCAGAAGAGAAAGGTCTATTCTTTTTTCTAGAAGTGGGACAGTATTCTCCGAGCAATCCAATTGATGACAGAAAGAGAGAAGCACGTTCAGACATAAAAGACGACTCAAAAGTAATCCCCTCCACTTTGAAGACTGTAGACACAGCACAGAGAGCTGCCAACGTCCTGAAAGACAATAAGAGAGTTGTCAGACCCGAAAGCTATAACGCAAGACGAACGTCGAAATCAGGGTAACGTTAACTAATAACCACATCAACTCCATTCTCAATGTTACATATACACCAACAAAGGTATACAAAAGATTTTTCAAATTTCAAACACACAAAGCATCAGTTAAATAAGCATGTTTCTTAAACGCCCTCAGATTCCAATATTTAAGGGGATATCTTTTAATCTAAGATATACTAATCAAAACTAAGATTAAAATTACATCTTGAAGCTTTTTATATCCACAAAACAATGCAAATATAAAAGAGCAAAAAGAAATTTTTAAATCAAGGGAAGAAACAGAAAAGGAAAGATGGAATAGAAATTAACAACCTTATCAAAAATAAATAAAATAATAAAATCTTTAATCTATAACCTCCTAATGATACTAAAATTTGTTAAAGAGGGTAATTTAATGAGAAAAATAATCAATAATTACCAAGTACCACAAATTCAGAACAAATAAACATTCCACTATCCTCCAAATCCAATAACAAAAATTTAAATAGATAAAATATTGTAGGATCCAGCATCCGATCTTCTATTATCTGAAAACGAAATATTTTTCCAAAAAAAATAGAGAGATAATGGCTTTGACAGAACCAAACGAGAATCCGATCGTTGAAATATTAAAAATAAAATCGAAGGGAAATCAAAGCAAATAATCGCTTAGAAACAAAAATAAAAATAGATCTACAACGATTCAACAAAAAGTTCCAGCTATCGAACAAATAAAGGGAAGATTGGAATCAGCAGGAAGAAAAACAATATATTGAATCGAAAAATAAAACGAAAGAAACATACCTTTGATGAGATGAGGAAAACAAGGGGACAATATAAGATTTGGAATTTGTGAAAGAGAAGCCAAGGCTGAAGCTTTGTTTAAGATATATTATGGGATTCTTGTTGTGGAGGAAAAGGAGAGAAGCACCTTGCTTTATATATAGTGAACACTTAGGGCAAATCATCTTTGAATTTTATATTTTCGAATTTAGTATTAGTTATTCTGGAACCGTCTTAGTTAATTACATTATTGTCCTTAATTTTAGTTTGTACCTACGGTTTTCTTTTCTTTTGTTCTTTCATATTGAAATTTATTTATTTATTATTTTAAAGAAAATAAAAAAAGTCTACATATTATATATATATATATACAGTAGAAATTCTTTAAATTAATATTCGGTAAATTAATAAACTCTCTAAAATAATAAATTTATCCGGTCTCGACTTGGGCCAATGTAAAAAATTGAAAAACTCGATAAAATAATAAGATAATAATTTTTCGTGAGATCCCTTTATAATTTTCGGTCCCAAGAAAATCATAAATTAATAATTCATAGAAACTGAAAAAAAATATATTACACTATATTGAAATATGATTCAATAGTTGTCTGTTTTCCTTTAAAGTTCAAGTTTATTTGGAGCTCATTATTAATTTAACTCATCTCTTGCAACGTAATTCTAAGAGGCATAGACTAATTTCCTTTTTGTTTGGTATGTACAGTATAATTACTTAAAAACTCTTTAAATTAATAATTATTAATTTATCGATAAATTAATAATTCTCTAAATTAATAAATTTCTCCGATCCTAACATTATTAATTTATAGAGTTTTAACTGTATATATCAAATGCATGTCGGGTGTTATTTAAAATATATTAACACTCAAGATTAATATTTGGTTTCATCTGGGCTTGATATAGAAATAAATCTCCTATTCAGTGATGGAACTTGATAATAAAATTTATGGAGTAATTTAAAATTTTAAAAAGTTTAGAGATTTAAATTAAAATTTCAAAATTTAAAGGATTTAGTTTATATTTTTTTTTAAATTGAGGTCTAACTAAAAAAATTTATACTTTAAAGGCTTAATGAGAATCTTTAAAAATGATGAGAGGAATTTAATTAATAACATTAAAAAATTTAAATTTAATTTAAATTTTTAAAAATTTCACAGGAGATAAATTATTTTAAAAATAAATTTAAAGATCTAAATTATATATTTTTTTAAATATTGTGGACCCATTAATCTTCACTGTATTCCGTCACTACTCCTACTAGATCTAAAAATACAAACCTCTTTATGAGTCAAATAATTGAAAGCAATATGAACTCTATTTAGAGTAAAACATAAATCCAATGACCGAAATTAAGTTGGCCATCCACGTAAAATTATAATTAGGGATAGCTTGAAGGAAGACGAATAGGGATAGTTGTGACTTCAAAAATTTTAAACTAATATATATTTTATATATATTTTATAACTTTAATTAACAATCTATTTTTAACTCTTACAAGTTTATAAATTCACTCCTTTCTATAATTTTATAAATTTATTCTTTAACATAAAATTTTGTGTTATTCCTTATCATAATCTGTATATGCAATTAAAGTTGTTATGTGCCAACTGCTTTTAAAATTATACAGTTTGTTTTCTTTCACCTAATATTTATTTTTTTTAATTTAAAACCCCCTTCACTCGTGAAATAAAAAAAATATAAAAGAAAATAACTTGAGTGATCGAAAATGTCTTATAATATACGATTTTAACTAATTTTTTTGGATTTGCAAAAATAACCAACGAATTCGCAACTCAATTTCGAATTCGCAACACAAACTCTAATTTCGCAACACAGTTTCCGAATTCGCAACACAGAATTTGGAATTCGCAACACAGAAGTCGAATTCGCAACTCTAATTTGACAATTTCGCAACACAAATTTCTTTTTCGCAACTCGATTTTTAAATTTGCAACACGAGTTTCCTTTTCGCAACAAGATTTTCTAATTCGTAACGCGAGTTTCATTTTCGCAACAGGAATTTCGTTTTCGCAACTCGATTTTTGAATTTGCAACGCAAATTTTAATTTCGCAACACATCTTTTAATTTCGCAACACAAATATTTTGGGTATATAAACTACGCAGCAGCAACAACTCAAAACCATCTTTAAGAAGTAATCTACTCAAATTGTCGACGTGTAAAGTGGCCATCACCTTTGTCAGGTCAGGAAAAACCCGAAATAACCATGATGGGACGGCGATATGACTAGTGTACGGACCTAATTCATCGTGTCGTCCGAAACGTAGACCAATGACCAAGCAAAACTCCTCCCGCCCAAAACGAGTATACGCCGGTGGAAAATGAAACCATATCTCCTCATCGCCACGTGGTATCCCCTTGGGTAGATAGTTAGTCATGGTTTGTAGAAACAAATGAGTAAACAAAGCATCTCTACTTGGATGTTGTACTTTCAGCCATGGCCCGAAACAAGTATTCTCAAACAAATTTCTTTTGACATGTGTAGGTGTCGACGCAATTATAGTGGCTAGGCTTAATTTATTCCTTAAAGTCAATGCAGCCTAAAAAATTCCTAACAAAAACAATAAAAATACTAAGTTAGATATACTAATAATATAGCAAAAACTACAAATTATACACAATGAACAGACATGATATTAATTAGGGAAAATATAGATTATATTATCTAATCTTAATACTATTAAACTAAATATGATATTAATCTTTCAAACTAGTCCGGTATTCACCCAAGTCATTATTCTATCATAGTTCACAAAATGCATCAGATAACATTCTAAAAGTAAGTATAAATATAAACAAAAAGGACAACATATAGATTTAGTGCAGGTTCAATGTTATTTCAAGAAAATCAAATTCGCAACTAAAAAATCGAATTCGCAATTCGAAACTTAAATTCGCAACTCTTAAATAAAATTCGCAACTCGAATTTCATTTTGGAGTTGCGATTTTTGTTTTCGAGTTACGAATTTCATTTTTGAGTTACGATTTTCGTATTGCGAATTTCATTTTCGAGTTGCGATTTTCGTGTTACGAATTTAAGTTTCTTAAAATAAATTACTCTTCTTCTGCAAATTGAAGCTTGAATGAAGTAATTACTTCAACCAAAAAACAAAGGGCGATGGCATAATGTAAGTCTAGTTACCAAATACTAACTTCACAGGGTTAAAGACTAAACAACTGTTTAGCAGTATTGGCAGCAACCGAATGAATTTACTAAGCAATCTAAGTGAAATGGTTAATCTATCTATATTATATGTAAAATATTATATTGAATTTAAATTACGAGTAAATTTAACATCAATTTAAATATGAAAATGATTAATTATCTAATAATAATACAAAAATTTCAAAATAAAAATTAAGAAAACTAACCATCGATGATTGATTTTCTATTTGTGGTCGTGAATAGTTGTGAGAGGGTGGCTGTGAGAGATGGAGATGGAGGGGGTAGCCGGAGATGGGGACGGATGTCGTCGGAGAATGTGAGAGATGGAGATGGAGATGGGGCTGAGTTGCGATTTAGGGGTTTAGTTACGATTTAGGAGATATACCCAAAATATTTGTGTTACGAAATTAAAATTGATTTTTGAAATTTAAATTTGCGTTGCGAATTCGAAAATCGAGTTGTGAAAACAAAATTCGCATTGCGAAATTGAAACTCGCGTTGCGAATTAGAAAATCGAGTTGCGAAAACGAAACTCGTGTTGCGAATTTAAAAATCGAGTTGCGAAAAAGAAATTCGTTTTGCGCAATTGTCAAATTCGAGTTGCGAATTCGTCTAATGTGTGCGAATTCCAAATTATGTGTTACGAATTCGAAAACTGTGTTGAGAAATTGACTTTCGTGTTGCGAATTCGAAATTGAATTACGAATTCGTTGGTTATTTTTGCAAATCCAAAAAAAAATTGATTAAAATTGTATATTATATGACATTTTCGGTCACTCAAATTATTTTCTCAAAATATAATCAAACTTGAAAAGATTATTTTATAATTCCTTCTTTGTAAAAATAAAATTTAGTTGAATTATTAAATGAAATATCAAAGGGTGAAAATGGAAATTAGAGTAAAAAAATCTATCGTTGAATATTCAAATCCAAAATAAGAAAAAACAAAATTGATAAAGTTTACGTGGCACATATTAGACCTATATAACACATTGGGTAAAAATATATCACGTCAACGTGTCTATCAGAAAATACACACTAAAGTGTGTAGACTTTTTTTTAATTGGATAGCGATATGTATTAATCTTAAACTCGATCATCAAAATAGTGTATGTTTAAGAGGATATATTTAATATTTGAGAATAAAAATATATTTAAATAATGTGAAATTTAAAAATCTTATGGTTAAATATGTTGATTTTGAGTTATAAAAAACATGCACTAAACTTGATCGGATTAAGATCTTGAACTCTTTTAGTTATTATCTTCTAAAATAATCGAGATCTTAATATCAAAAAATATCTTTGACTATCGTATTGATATGTGTCTGATTAAGTTCAAAATATATCTTTAACCGCTTAAAATTAATATGTTTGACTATAAGTTTCTCAAATCTCTAATTATTTAGATATGTGTTTTTAAAGTGTTTAAATATAATACTTTAAACATTAACTCATTAAGTGTTGAAGATAAAAATTTATATATATATATATATATATATATATATATGCAGTTCATCACTTTCGTTTGACTTGACTTTTGCTCGTGTAAATATTTGGGGTAGTTCTGTAGTGCGTCGTCTTAGTATACGGTTAAAATGAGGTGCTATCAGTTTTGTTATTATTTTAAATAATAAAATTGATAAAAAATGACCGGAAACATCATTATTTTGACTGATTATAATTACTTATATAGGTAAACACAGTAAAAAATTGGTCAAAAAATGCTGTTTTAGGTAGCGTTTTATCGAAAACATTATTTTTTGACCGAATATTTTTATCACGTTTACCTATATAGGTCATTAGCAACGGTCAAAATAATGTTATTCCCGATATTTTTTACCAATTTTATTATTTAAAATAAAAAAAAACTGATAACGACTTATTTTAACAGTATACTAAACCGTCTTATGTGATTGTTTCCCAAA